ACATTAAACTTGTATTTAACAGAGATGTGCTCTTAGTTTCTTAGAAGTAATTCATTCAGAGTAATGGTAATTTTCCGGTTTTGTAATATTAGATTCATTTTATTTATTTATTATTTTTTTAAAGGAAATGGACTTATGTAACCGGTCTGTGGGAGCCATAATCCTTGTTTGTTGCAAGGGGATCAAATACTTATTTCCCACAGTTAAATTCAAACATACATTTTAATCTTGTATATAATGTCAATATCTGGATTTCTTTTTGATATTCTTACTCACACTGTTAAAATAAACCTAAATGATAGACTGTTCATTTGTTTGTAAGTGGGCAAACTTACAAAATCTGCAAGGGATCAAATAAGTATATCCTCCGCTGTATTTCAAATAAAGAAGTCACTGTTATAGAATATTAAATCATTTGTTTGGAAATGTATCAAGTTGGCCTCATGGCATCATCAACACTTTACTCATTATTCCCTCCTTCCTCAGGTGAGCACTTTGTGGATAAACATAGAACCGAGCTGATCAACAGAGTGAACTGCGTTGCAGACATTTTGGATCAGCTCTTTGAGGAAAAAGTCATCACACAATCGATTTATAGTGATATCATGGTAATCCCAACCTCTCAGAAGAAGATGAGGGAACTCTTCAGTGGTCCCCTGAATGCAGCAGGGCTTCGTGGCAAAGACGTCTTCTACAGAATCCTTGAGAAAGAGGAGAAATATCTCATTGAGGAGCTAAAGGGAAAGAAGTGAATGTTGAGGAGAAATCATTTTTCAGACTAAATGTACATTGTGCCTCAAGAAAGAAAGCATCTTAAACGATTCCAATGGGGAAATATTAATGTAAATGTCTCTGTAGGGGTTCTATCAAATATAGCTTTTGCACCTTCATGTTTAATCATAGCTCTTTTTTACACTTGGACCAGTCATATTTTGTAAAATGTATACGTTTTCCTGTAAGGTTAAAACCAGAGTCAGCAAACCATGTAAGTCATTCATGTAATGTAATGATGTAAGAAATGATTTAGCGTTCTCACCTGACATGTAATGTTTTGATCCAGCAAATCCCAGATGGATTGAGTCTGCTTTTAACCTATTTTTTATAAATTAAAGGATGCTTGATCATGAATGATTATCCTTAGGTTTTGCATGCAGATTTTAATTTTGATTATTCTCTTATGTGCTAAAGGATTCTCTTGTTGTTTTTTCCCTCATGAAAATATGTTTACTTTTGGAGGCCAATGTTTTCTATTTCGAAATACGTTTTCAATAAACTCTTATAAATATTACACATGTCGAGTGAATAGAGTGTTTTAAAAGTTGAAGCAAACATACTGATGTAATGAAGTTAACAGATTTAGGAACGTCGCTTTCCTCCTAGATTTGTTTTAATGTTTACATATTATTCTTATTATTTATTAAACTGATTGTTCAGAGGGGTACTGGAAGAAGGTATATTCTTTTGACGTTATCCAGAAACATTGATTGATTAACCAACCTCAATTTCTATGAACTAATCGTTTAGCCTTACCTTCTTGTATGTTTGGATGAAGCGAGGCAGGACTTTACTTGGTGATGAAAGTACAGTTTATACATTTAAAGGGGAACTGCAGCAATGTTTAGATATCTAGTCTGTTTAGGAGTCTTGTAAAGTAGCTGCCGCATGAGTAAAACAAGTTATACAAAGCCTTTTGTGGCTCTAGAGGGAGCTGTCTGAGAGATAATGCCTGTTGGAGTTCAATACTACACATCTGGAAATGTAATGTGTTTGTATTATGTTAGATTTTCTCATTTCAGTTGCAAATTCACGTGTGGGATGTAGGTCATGAAATGCTTTTTTAAGGATTCATTTCAAAGTGTGTTGTTGAAGTGATGCTGCATTACACTCCAGTTATCACATGGGGCTCTGAACCCATCCCTCCAGCCTCACCACTGCACACCCAGATGTTATATTATAAGCACAAATGCAGCTATATCTGTGTGACGACTGAGTCAGTGACATTCTTTAAAATACTGGTAAGAAATTATCTGTTTAACAGCTTTTTTTTATTATTAATGCTACCATTTTATTTCCAATATGTCCTATCTGCTGTATTATCTTTGTCATTTGTTTTATTAATATTATGTTTGGGCTTTTTATTATGCTTTGGGGTGCGGGAAGGGCGGTGCTGAGGGCGATGCAGTACCCCCTAGCGGCAGGCAGGCGGGGCTCCTCTGCCTGCATATTTAATTTTCCTCATATTTGTATTTCATTTCATTGTGCCTGAGATATATTTTATATTACATATTATTATTCAAATGATAATTTTAAACTATATGATAAATTATTTAGCTTCAGGGAAGAAAAATAAAAAAGATGTGAAAAAAAAGTTTTTGGGCAACTTTTAACGTAGTAAAAGAAACTGACATGGCGCAAAAACGTATCTCGGAATTCTTTCTCACTAAAAACGCTAAATCTGCTAAAAAGATTGAAATAAAAGATGCAGGGGCAGGGCGTTATTACGCAGAATCAGTGTAATTGTCACGATCTTAGTTTTATGTCACGGTTTTAGTTTGTTCTGTCTTGTCATGGTTTTATTTTGCAATTCTGTTCTCCCTGTGTCTTGTCTTCCTCCCTGTCGTTAGTTTCCCTGGTGTGTCTGATTGTGTTCACCTGTTGCCCTTGTGTTTCTCCTTCCCTGCCCGGCTGTTTCTCGTCTCGTGATTACCCCTCCCTGTATTTAGTCTTGTCTCTTCCTGTGTTCGGTTTCAGCTTTTGTAAATAAAGCTCGCCTTTTGTTTCATTTTGAAACCTGCTTCCCTCCTCAATCTGCATTTGGGTCCTTTTTTTCCCCAACCCTGACAGTAATATGTAGCCAGGAATTAGCAATGCCTTGATAGCCTACTTCAATCAATGTAAATTCCACATTGTTGGTAAAATAATATTTAACATCTTAATAGTGTGTGTGTGTGTGTGTGCTCCCGCTTTTGTGCGTGCTCTATAGTGCCCGTAATAGCGTGCACTGGAGTCCGTTGTTATCAGTGTTGGGCAAGTTACTTACAAAAAGTAACTAGTAATAGTTATAGTTACTGCTCTCAAAAAAGTAACTAGTTACTTTTACTAGTTACTAAATTATAAAAGTAACAAGTTACTTTACTTTACTTTAAAAAGAATAACAAT